AAACACTGAAAGAGTAGTTAACCAAAGAAGAAAACAAATAAACAACAATAATAAAAATGGATGATAAACTTGAATTAGGCTTAATGGTATCATTTTCATCCACAGGACACCAATTCGTTACTGCAGTAGATAGCAGTCATCATAGATTCATGTTATGTTGCCCACGGTCAAAATCCAGCAGCACAAAAGATGCAATGCATGGTGAAAGTTATCCACTTTAACACGCTTAAAATGGCATCATCCGTAATGCTCAATTACATTTAGAAGCATATTCCACAGAAAGGAATAAACCATAACCAAGTCAGCTCTGGCAGCGGGAGTCTAAAAATTCATCATAACATAAAATTTAAAGAGAAAAGTGAAAATCAGGATTTTCTAGCATTTAAAACACTGAAGACTGCCTATGAAATTGTTCAAATACCCTTAATAAATCTATCTTGCGTTGGCATTTTAATTACGTTCTGATTTTCTGCCATCCCAAATTTAAACCAAAAGAACCATAAATTGTCTATTTTCAAGCAAAAGTAAAGAGCCACTGCGGTCATTGAGGACCAATGCCGACCAGAGGTGAAGGAAGCCGTGGAACATTGCCACTGCGCCGGTATGAAGATCAAGATGATCACAGGTGACAATGTCTCCACTGCAAGAGCCATAGCCATTAAATGCGGGATTCTCAGATCGGGTGATGAGGACAAGGAAGGAGTCGTCGTAGAAGGTGAGGTATTTAGGAATTATACACTAAAGGAGAGGATGGAGAAGGTTGACAATATCAATGTTTTGGCACGATCATCTCCTTTGGATAGACTTCTTCTGGTGCAGTGCCTGAAATTGAAAGGACAAGTGGTTGCAGTCAACAGCAAAAATGATTCATTGGTGCTTAAAGAAGCTCACGTTGGACTCTCTCTGGGGATTCAGGGAACGGAAGTCTCCAAGGAAAGCTCCGATATCATCATCTTGGATGATAATTTTGCAACCATTGCTATGGCTTTGAAGTGGGGAAGATGCGTCTACAGCAACATCCAAAAATTCATTCAGTTCCAACTCACCATAACTGTTGCTTTTCTAGTTATCAACCTTATTGCAATTGTTTCTACTCGCGCAATTCCTTTAACGGGGCCTCAGATTTGTTGGGTGAACTTGATCATAGGGGTGTTGGGTGCTCTGGCTCTGGCTACAGAGCACCCCACCAGTGAGTTGATGGAGAAGCCGTCTGTTGGCCCAATGGAGCGGCTTATTACGAACATAATGTGGAGGAATCTCCTAGCTCAAGCTCTTTATCAAATTGGAGCCCTCCTAATGCTGCAATGTAGAGGAGAACCAACCTTCGGTGTAACAGAGGCTATGGATAACATCTTGATCTTCCATACTTTCGTTCTTTGCCAAGTTTTCAACGTTTTCAATGCTAGGAAGCTTGAGAAGAAGAATGTTTTCAAGGATGTTTATAATAACTGGAAGTTTCTTGGGATTGTTGGGATTATGATTCTTCTCCAAGTGGTCATGGTAGAGTTTCTGAGGCAGTTTGCCAATACGGAAAAGTTGAATCGGGAAGAGTTTGGCCCTACAGAAAAGTTGAATTGGGTCAACTGGAGGACTTGTGTGGCCATTGCTGCCATCTCTTGGCCCGTTAGGACGATTGTCAAGTGCATACCGGTGCCACAACTCCGATAATAATAAGCAAATCTCAAGTGTGTAGTACCAAAAAAAAAAAAAAGAAAAAGGCTAATCTCAAGTAGAACACAATGTAGGATCTCAAGTTTCTAAACAGAATTTTATAACCCTTTTATAACTTTCCTCAGTTTTACTGACACTAACCATAGGGAAACATTTTCCGTAGCTTTAAAATGCTCCACGTATGGAGGCAACAACACCATTAAGCAAAAATGCACCAAATAA